CTCCTAGTGCCCCCATCAACTGGCGCCGAGGGAAGCTGCTGGGTCAGGGTGCCTTCGGCCGCGTCTATTTGTGCTATGACGTTGACACAGGACGTGAACTTGCTTCCAAGCAGGTCCAGTTTGACCCAGATAGTCCTGAGACAAGCAAGGTACTGCCTTTTTCATGGCAGACCCCTTTTTTCCAGCAAAAATGTTCATCACACAGTTTGGGGAACTGTTTGGAATGTTATAGGCTGCTTTCTTAAAGAATTCTTCCTCTCCCTTGCTGTCCACCCTGGCCCTGGGCTGAAGAGATTGTGGTCCAAAGAGTGCCAAGCAACCAGGGTGTGGGGAGGAGTATTAGACAAAAGGAACTGGGAGGTGATGCTCCAAGTAACCTAAGAAGTAATGATCAGAAGTCCCACCATCACCAAACAAAGTCTGCAGTCCTGGGCTCAGGACGGAGCCCCAGGCTTTATGCACTGGGTCCAGCAGAGCCACTCTTTGGAATTAAGTTTTGAATGTGGAAAAACCTAGCAGTTCCCTCATCAGCCTCTTCCACCCACTGTCAGCCTTCCAGCATGGCAGTAAGGGTTGCCCGTACCCGAGGGTGCCCAGCACTGTGGCTGAGACCAGAGACTGGCAGCCCCTATGAGGTCCGTGTGGGGCACGCTGAGCTGGTCCCAGTGGGGTCCTACCCCTGAGCCCAACAGTGACCTCACCCCTCCCTAGGAGGTGAGCGCTCTGGAGTGCGAGATCCAGCTGCTGAAGAACCTGCAGCACGAGCGCATCGTGCAGTACTACGGCTGTCTGCGGGACCGCGCCGAGAAGACACTGACCATCTTCATGGAGTACATGCCGGGGGTGGGTGCTTCCAGACACCTGCGGGGGACACACATGGTGGGGGCTGGGGCTGGGGACTCACTTAGGGGAACAAGGGGAGGTTTTGGCTGGACTGGGCTCCAGTGATGGTGGGATGTAGCTCAAAGGCTGGTGAGTGAGTCCAGTAAGTCCAGCTGTTACCAGGCAGAGTACAGGCCTCCCTTCTCTGGTTTGGATATTTGCTTGAGGAAAGGGCTGTTAATGACTTAATTCCCGAACTGCCCAGCATCCCTTAGCAGAGGGGCTACAAATGTCTGTGCCTGTCCCTATCCCTACCTGTGACTCCTTGTGGCTGGCAGGGCTCGGTGAAAGACCAGTTAAAAGCCTACGGAGCTCTGACAGAGAGTGTGACCCGCAAGTACACGCGGCAGATCTTGGAGGGCATGTCCTATCTGCACAGCAACATGATCGTTCACCGGGACATAAAGGGTGAGCAGAGGTTCTGGCACTGTGGTCCCCAAGTCCTGGGTTCAGGCATTCCCCTGATTATTGGTTATCCTGGACTGCCTAACAAATGGGACCTAACACCATCTTCTTTTGGGGGATCAGCTCAAGATTGAGTGATTTGGGAAATACCATAAATTGTTTGCAGACATTGGCAGTGGTGATGATCATTCATACGAGGTCTGAGGCCTCTCTTCACTAGATGAGGTGGAGGGAGTGAAGGGGATAACCCTAACCCTAACCCTAACCCTTGGGATACCAAGAGAGCCTGTATCACAGCCTTGGCCTTTACATGTCCTAGGAGCCAACATCCTCCGAGACTCTGCTGGGAATGTGAAGCTGGGGGACTTTGGGGCCAGCAAGCGCCTGCAGACCATCTGCATGTCAGGGACAGGCATGCGCTCCGTCACTGGGACACCATACTGGATGAGCCCTGAGGTGATCAGTGGTGAGGGCTATGGAAGGAAAGCCGACGTATGGTGAGTGCTGGGTCCACTCCCTGTCTGGGCTACGGTGGGTCTGATGCTGAGACGTGAGCCTTCAGGGGTCCCCAGTGTGGCAGGAAGGAGTGAGGACCCGCCTTTCACCATTGAGGCCAGGACTCTGGCTGGGACCCCCTAGCAGTACATCAGATGAATAGTTGTGTTTAAACCCCAGATAGTCTGATGTTCAGAACTTCCCTGATGTTTGTAAAACATCTCTCTAGAGTAGCAGGATTCTGTGCCTCTCTGAGAGCTACATTTGCTGCACCTCATGGCCATCCATTGGCAGTGTTGGAAGCTGGGAGTGCATCACTCCCTTTCAGGAAATGATTGTAGGAGGCTGCTCTCCCAACTCCATCCACACTCTGGAACCCATGGGTGACACTTTAAGGGGCGGAAGGGACCTGGTTAATGGGATTAAGTTAAGGCTCTTGAGAAGAGGAGAGTACCCTGGGCTATTGAGATAGGTGCACAAGAGTCATTAAAGGTGAAGCAGCAAGAGGTCAGTCAGCAGCCAGGGCTGTGATGATGGACACAAGAGTTAGAGTGATGGGGGAGATGGGGGCGGGGCCACAAGGCAAGAATGCAGGTGGCTTTTAGAAACAAGAAAAGGCAAAGAATTGGAGAGTCCCCTTTCAGCCTCCAGAAGAAAGGCTTCCGCTGATAGCTTGATGGTCGCCCAGCCAGAGCAAGAACACAAAAACCAAACCCACTGCCTTGAGTCACTTCCAGATGGCATTAGCCCAGCATCACTAATTGTAGACTCCTGACTTTCACAACTGGAAGGTCATTTGTGCTGGTTGAAGCCACTGCATGTGTGCTAATTAATTCCAGCAGCACAGGACCTGTCCATACTTAGTGACTCTCTCCTGTCTCAGGAAGTGCCCAGCTAGATGATGAGGTGGAGGTTGATGAGACCCCAGTGTATGAGGACCAAGCATCATTGGGGACCTCCACTGGGTCCACTCTCAGAAAGGCACACCCAGCTCCATGTGTTTTGAGAAAGGCGCTTCTGCAGCAGTAATTCAGGTGCCTGGCTCTTGAGTAACTCAGGTTCTCTCTTCCCAGGAGCCTGGGCTGCACAGTGGTGGAAATGCTGACAGAGAAACCACCGTGGGCAGAGTATGAAGCCATGGCTGCCATCTTCAAAATTGCAACCCAGCCCACCAACCCTCAGCTGCCTTCGCACATCTCCGAACACGGGCGGGACTTTCTGAGGCGCATCTTTGTGGAGGCCCGCCAGAGGCCTTCGGCCGAGGAGCTGCTCAAGCACCACTTTGCACAGCTTGTGTACTGAGCTCTAGGCCACGCTGCTGCCGGCCACCCCTACTGCGTGGGCAAGGGGCTGCTGGGGGCTCAGCAAGTTGCTGCTTCTCCCAGGCAAGGCTGTGGACTCGAGAGCCACGGTCCAGCCAGCGTTTGCTGGGCCTCTTCTGCCCCAGGGCTGGGAGCCAGGGCAGGAGCCTCAAGGACTGGGAGCCCCCAGCCTGCCAGACCGGAGAGCTCCAGAGTCCTGAGCGCACAGTGGAGGGGATCAGACACCATATGCAGCGACCACAGGCCCAGCCTTGGAGCTGTGTCCCAACACTGCAGTTGGGCTGAGGTCCGAGTTGCAGGGTGGGAACAGTGTTGTTTTCGTTCTGAGTGTTACTTTGTTTCTGGAGGCCACCACAGGAGTCACCTGGCTGGGTGAGGCCACCCAGCCTGAGGTAATCAGCATTCCCTTAAAGCAATGGAAGTCCAGGTGGGCCGCCCTCGGCCCCTGGCCCCCGGCCCCCAGGCCAGCTTTGCCAGTCCTGTCCTTTACCAAAGATGAATGAAGCAAATGTTATGCTGCCTTATTCAGGGAAGGAGGCACCTGTCTTGCCTGCCCATGTGACCCTGCCCCCAGGCGGGGTCTTGAGATGTGGAATCTCACAGAGGTGGGGAGACCCAGTTTTGTCAATGCAATTGTTTCTATTTAACAAGTAGGGAGTCACTCTTTTCTGTACCGAGTTTCTAAACTGAAGACCTTGTGTGCCCTCTGGGCTCTGCATACCCAGCTTTGGGTGTGGGCTGGGCCAGTGCCCCTGGCTGAGATGGAAGGATGGACAGCTTGGAGCAGGCGTCTGACCCCACTGACTGGCCTGAGCGGGACATTGGACAACCAGGCAGGCTTTGAGTTGTGACCTAGCTGGGCCAGAGCCCTCGCCCCACTGCCTGTGGCAAGCCTGTGTATGTGCGTCCATCTGTGTGCAGCCCACCAGCTCTGCCTCTTTAGCCAGCCTGGCCCGTTCAAGTAAGGGCTCCAAGCCCTGCCTTCCATGCTCCTCTCGGGGAAAGGATGGCAGCAGGGGCAGGAAACCAGTATCTCAGCAGCATAAAGTTGGCCACATTTACCTCAGCCTGGGCGCTGGTCCTTTCTTCCAGCCCCTCCCCTCCGAAATGTGCCTCTTGCTAAAGCTCCTCCCCCGGCACTCAGTTTCCTTGGGAGTTAGATTTAAGAAAACCAAGCCAGTGCCCAGGGACAGGCGTCTCCAGGGAGCTGGGGGTTAGCGCCAGGCAGCTCATTGCCAGCCATGCCCACATCCCATGGGCACTGAACAAGCCAAAGCCTTCGTTATATGTTGACGATGCACTTTTATGAATGTAGTTTCTATCGCTGTTTTTAGCCTTTTCACATCATGTAATGTGAGGCCTTGTACTTGTTAATTTATATCTCTGATCATATTTGATGGGTTTTATATATATCAACTCTAGACTGTTACAGGTGATGGACGCCTCAAGAGAAGAGAAGATGAAAGCAGCTGGTTTTGCAGACGTGTGTGTTGTAACGGTGCCACTTGGGCCTGGGTCCCTTCTTTCCACCCCCTTATCTGCACCCCAGCCCTGCCCAGGGTAGGGACTGCCCCCCTCGACCACAGCTGCTATGCGGCAGCTCGGCCTCTCCATGACCTGTCGGATGGCAGCCGGCACCCCACACCAGTCCCCCGTTCCCCAAGAGGAGGTGGTGCTATGCCAGCACTGTGGAGACAAGACAACTCTGTGTCCCAGGTTCAGGGTCCCACAGAGCCTGGCCCCTGGAGCCAGTGTGTTCTAAAAATGAATATGAAAACAAGTCAACCAACCATGCACTCCAAACAACAAAAATACCCCACGATTTTGTGTGTGCCAAAAACTGTGGACATGCTGGCTTAGCATCCTCAGGACCAAGCTGTTTCTTAATTTATTGTTTTTAAGTAAACCAGATTAAGTTGTGGGGACTTAGCATGGCCTGGGCCCAAAGGTTCTGATGGGCAGTGTCCCAGCAGACCCTAGGCTTGCTGTGGGAAGGGGCCATATGTCGGCATTTTCTAATCCCAGGGGTATGTCTGCCTTGGCAAACCCAGCAAGGAGGCCAGGGCTGGAGGTAGTCTTCTGCCACCTCTTCTGCCCAACCCCCCTCCAACTCTGTGTCTGTCTGAATTGTGGATTGTGCAGAAGAACCTGCAGCCATAGTTATATCTTGACCAAGGGCTTGCAGTGCAAAGCCAGGCCAGTGTCTTGCATTACTTACAATAAAAGGGATCATTTATACTGGAGGGGTCCTGTGGCTGTGATTTTGGTCGGGGTAGGGAATGTCTGCCTAGAGTAGGGTAAGGATGGTGTCTTGCAGCAAATTTGGGTACTTTGAGTAGAGGGATACTTGAAATAACTCCAGGGGGAGGGATCCTGAGGTTGAATGCCAGCACTCCTAGCCACAGCTTTACTAGTGTCTACATCCCCAGGACCTTGGTGACACCCACCTGCCACCCCAGAGAGGGACTCTTGCTAATTATAATTACTCTTGGGAGTTCCTCTTGTAGCACAGGCACCACCTGCTTCCAGGAGCTACTGCTCTGTCATCTTCCCCCTAGTTCACTGCTAGCTTTTGAGCAAAAAGGCCATTCTTGTCCCCATCCAAGCCCTCTAGAACCTCGCTAGTCTGGAATTGAACTAGGCATTCAACAGCTTTCCTCATGCCCAAGTAGTCAGTTCAGTTGTTCCAAGTGGCAACATCCAGCACAGAAGAGCAGCTAATCTGCCACCGAAATACAGGGCCATTTCCTCCCTCGTCCCATGGGTATGGGGTCCCTTGCTCTCTTGTTGCATACAGGTAGCTGACGGAGCTCAGCACAGGTTGCTGCCTGTTGTCAACTGAGGAGGGTGTCTGGGCCTTTGAAGTGGGTTCTGTTGCTGTAACTTGTCCCATGTTGCCTGGGTTTTCATGAGTTGCTGCTCCTTCGATGACTGGGACAGCCATGGCTAACCTCCCCAAAGCATGACAGGGGCAAGAGGCCAGCAGTGGGGTAAGAGTGGGCACCAGGACTTGGGGCACACAAACCCATGACAGTGCTAGGGTGACAGACTGGTTCCCACCACTCCTTGTGGATTTTGGGGGCAATGGAAGCTCAGACTTAGGGCCCATCAAGTACAGGCCCAACACATCTCTTCAGAACAGGGTGTGTATGGGAGCTGAGGACCACATGGAGTTTTAGTATCCATTCTGGGTTTGACAGCCTGAAGAACCAGCTGGGAAGAGGAGCGCCCCGTTCCTCAAGCTGGTGAGTACTGCCGACACCCACTGAATCCTCCCCTTCAGTCCCCGCCCACCCTATCTCCCCATCCTCCTAGCCCCCAGGTGCTTGAATCCTTCAAGCCATTAAGTCCCACATTCAGCCACAAAATACAGAGTCAGGATTTGCTTAAACAGGTTTAAAATGGGGTTGATCACAACAGTCAGAACTGGCAAAAAACAAGGAGGGGAATGGGAGGGGAGCCTGGCCTCGGCCAAACCCGTTGTCAGTCTCTGTGGCTTGCTCAGCCTGGTGGGCACGTTAGCGTCTGCTTTTTGACTCCCATGGCGCAGACATTCCCAGCCCCATGGGGGCACATCTGCCCCGCCGGGGGAGTCAGTGCCACTCCACTTCCCCATCCCTTCCCCCCCTATGGCCGTGGTGGGCATCCTGTGAGGCCTAGCAGGGGTCCTTCCTCCCAGACTGCATGGCAGGACCAGGCTGAAGGCAGAGGTAGATGGGGACACATAGGACCCACGTGCGCGCCGGTGGCAGTGAGGGAGCTTGGGACCCTGAGGGGGGCATGCTGACTCCTTGCTGGAGAAAAGGCACCTAGATAGGGAAGCTGGGCTTGATGGCCTCCCAAGGGGCCCTGGGGTGAGGTGGGCTGGGGCTGGCTGGAAGAAGTGGGACGCAGGGTGGGTAACAAACACCCAATCCTGGCCCACTGAGGGAGAATGAAGGAATCCTGGGGCACAGTCCTGCCCCATAACCCTCCCCTGAGCAAAATGGCCTCACCCCTCCCCACCCAAGCCCAGCTCCAGTCTCCTTCCCACCATCCCCACAGCCCATCCAGGGCGCTAGTGGCAGGTGAGTGGGGACTCAGGCGGTCTTGGTGCCTGGGTCCACCTCCTTGTGGGCCCAGAGCTCCTTGTGCTGCTTCCGGCCAAACCCCTCATCATAGTTGCCTTTGCTCTTAAACAGCTGCTGGAAGTGGGGTTTGCAGTAGAACTCCCCGTGCAGCGCGGCGTAGCTGCCCAGGCTGTGGAAGCAGACAGTGGTGGTCAGGCCGCATCACGTCGGGGTTGTGAGGGCAGGGGGCAGCCGGGCAAGGGGAGAAGGGGAGGGGGCGGCAGGGCCGGGTCCCACCTGAGCTTGGCGTGGCAGTGCTTGCAGCAGAAGCAGGCATTGTGGAATACGACCTTATCTGCCACCAGTGGCTCCATGGGGTACACCTTCTTCTGGCAGGCAGCACAGGTCTCTTTCACTTGGGCCCGGAGGCTGAAGGACTGTGAGGGACTAAGCGGGGGCCTGGCCCACCCCAGCCAGCCTCCCCTGACCCCCACGCTGGGCCTTACCTTGGAGCGCTGGACAGAGCTGTTCCCACCGCTGCTCTTGGCTTCCTGGGTGGGAGACAGGGCCAGTCAGGCGCACGCCATGCAAATCTACCGGCCCTCGCCCTCCATCCCAGGCCGAACACCTGCAGGACCCTCCCACCCTGCCGGTCACCTACATGAGAGGGAGTGGACTGGGCGGCTCCTGCAGCCTGGAACATGTTTCGTTGGAGGTGATGGAGGCCGCGGCACCCACTGGATTCTGCAAGGGGAAGTCAGTCGGTCGGGCCCCACAAGCCCTTCCCCAGCCTCAAGGGTGAGGGGGGTGTTTACAACTGGGACTGGGGGGGCTGCGGTTGGGACTTTCCCTAAGTCATTTCCTGTTGCTCTAGGTCTTGCCACTTCCGCCCCTCACCCACCTCCCTCTGCGCCTGCCCGCCCCCCACGCC